GGACGCTATTTTTAGAACAAAAAGGAGGACATGTCCGGGTAAATCCGGACGAATGGTAACCCTAAGCCTATGGATGACTGGCTGGTGGGCCTTGCCCACATGCTCAGGGCCTGAGTGACATATTTGGGGTCTGGAAGGAATTTTACTCTCAGTCAGACTGACAGAGATCCTGGGAAAGTTTTGCCTTCTTTTGCAGCACTGGGCACGTGTCACTTGCAGGTCTAAACTAGTGTAAATGGTGGATTCTCTGTATCTTGAATTTTTTAAATCATGATTTGAAGACTTCAGTAACTCAGCCAGAGGTTAGGGGTCTATTACAGGAATGGGTGGGTGAGGTTCTGTGGCCTGCAATGTGCAGGAGGTCAGACTAGATGATCGTGATGGTTCCTTCTGACTTAAAGTCTATGAGTCTACAGTTGGATTGTAGAAATTTGCTCAAATACATTTATAAACAAACTTCTAGTAAAATAGACTAATTGATTACATTTTGCATTTAGGTATTTACTGGGATCTTCACAGCAGAAATGGTTTTAAAGATAATTGCCATGGATCCTTATTATTATTTCCAAGAAGGCTGGAATATTTTTGATGGTATTATTGTCAGCCTTAGTTTAATGGAACTTGGTCTTGCAAATGTTGAAGGATTATCAGTTCTCCGCTCATTCAGATTGGTAAATATATTAATAAATAACATTTACGTGGGGATTTTTATTTACAGGTCCTAATTATACTTATAATTCAGACACAGTATGTTTATATGGCTCATTCAAAAAACTTCTATTTTCACTGCATGCACAATGTGATGTGGAATAATACTGGTGGAAGAATGATTGTGAATGCTTAATTTTTAAAATCAGGTCCAATAGTAATAAATCTGTTTTTTTAACACAAGGTTCAGGTGACATGTACAAACCCCTTATATTTTAATCTCATTTTTATATTTTCTCATTAAAATCCACTGATGGATAACTTTGATTAATTAAGCGTGAGATATACGATCACATTTTCAATTTTTTGTCAATAATTTAATCTAATTTATCAAGGGAGGGAGCAAAACATGGTACTTTTCAAGTCTTTTTATCAACAATACAGCAAATGATGGAGTGATAAAAGATATTATTAAAGATATGATCAGAATGTAAAATATGGCATGTAAATTATAAGGCAGTATCATATATCATATTAATATACGTACATACAATATATACATATATGTTTATTAATGTACCTTATCCATCTGTCTTCCCCCAATCCAATACATTTATTAAAAGCTAGTTAAGGTCGTGCAAGCACATAATTACTAATACAACCATAAAAAATACACAAAATCATCAGTTAAGTCCTGACCTGACCCCAGCCTTCCAAACATTTTGCCTTCTCTCTATTTCCTCACCTCCATTCACCATTTGTAATATATTTGCTTCAATGGAAAAAGGATGGAGCAAGAGAGGACAAAATGTAGCAATAATTACAGTGATTTCCATTAGAGGTAACACAGTACCATATCAAAGTATTGACTTTACCGTGGCATCACCTAAATTAAGAATGTATGTTTCAGTGAAATATTTATATGGTACCATTGTAAATGTTTGCTTTTTTATCACCCTATATCCAAACGTCATGTTTTTACAGGCCAATGTACATATAGTTACTGGAGCCACAATATGCACTATTAAAAAGTCAACTTTTATCAGTTGATACCACATGTAGTTTCTCAAAAACTGTAATACTTCCCAATACTAAGACTAGGAAATATAACTAACTAGCTTAGGTTTTTCTATGGCATCCATTGCTGTGGCATCTAGCAACTTCAAATACCATATTATGTTTATGGACAGAAAATGTTTTGATTTTTTTTTTTAAATGGAGATCATAAGAACATAAGAACGGCCATACTGGGTCACTTTATCATTATCAAAATATTGCTTTAAAATTTGTCCACTGTTAATTAAGACTAGATCATTCCTTTAAGACCCTACTTGCAGGACAGCGCACTGAGGACAGGGTGGAGCTGCTGCAGGTTGAGCACTGCATCTGATGTGGGGAAGTGCAAACTACTATGCACCTCTAAGGACTGTAGCATATTCCTCTCCGTTCAGGAGTTCAAATGGAAAACAGCTCCACACTCCCAACCAAAAGGCCCTACCACACTCCTGTGTGAATTGCCAAAACTGCCCACAGCAGTTTGTGCAGATATTAAAAATAGGATTGTGTGTGCTCACTGATTTGACTTCTCTTGGTGGGGCTCACATGCCTTGCAAGGCTCTACTAGGCTCCTTGGGCTTGATTGAGAGAGAGGAGAAAGTGCTGATTATCTACCATACCCTCCCCCCACACACTGAGCTGGTACCACAATGAGCTGTCACTTGCAACAGACTGTAAAGATTTTAATATTATGATCCTTCCTCTATCTTTCCACATGCTTTCAAGAGCAGTGATTAGTTTACAATGTGAACCTTTAAATTAGCATAATTGGGTTTCTAAACTGACACTTTAGTAAACTGAACAGCATAGGTCACACCTCTCAGAATGATTGTTTCGAGATCACCCCCAGGATGGAAGTTCATCAAAAAAACCACTCTCAAAGACCTGTAGGGAGAATAGAGGTAGGAAGCTTCTGCTAAGAACATTTTTAGCTTGGATTGGCTTGGATTATTTAAACCTATGATCAGACAGGAAATGTTATCTAGTGTACTGTAGTGGATCCAAGTCCATTTAGGGCTTACCAATCCCTTGAATGGCATCAAAAGGGGAAAGGTTGTCAGTGTAGTCCATGGAGTAACAGTGCTGTAAATTCAAAATGACTCAGACTCCATTAGAGATGAGCTAATGCATTACGCAATAGTTTAAGCTTCTGGGTTCTTTTCATGTGTAGCCACATGGAGGATGCACTGCAGCAAACTAACCAAATGCAACCCCAATTCAATTTTTTTGCATTAAATATGGAATTTTCCTCCCCATTCACTCCCCTGTGTCTTTCTCAATCCCCAGATAATCCATTAAACTTTCCTAAATCTTTGTGAAAATTTTAACTATCTCAACATTTATCAGCTGATGTATTATTTACACATTAAAAATATCCATTTCTAGCTCTCTTACCAGTATTATTACAAGCCATATTCTCACATCCTAGTTTCTTTAGTTCATTTTAAAAGACATTTTTATATTTTCTAAACTTTAATTGGGAACAGGCCCTACAGGTTCTGCATTACAAATATAGTGTAGACTGCATCCACAGAAAATGGCATCTAAATTTATAAAATGAAATATTTTACAATACAGAACTTTTTATAAATGGAGATGCAAGACACACCTTCATTGTAATTAGTACTAAAATGCTCCTTTGCTCTTGTTTTTCAGCTCCGAGTATTTAAGTTGGCAAAATCTTGGCCAACACTGAATATGCTGATAAAGATTATTGGTAACTCAGTGGGGGCTTTGGGAAATTTGACGTTGGTGCTGGCCATCATTGTCTTCATTTTTGCTGTGGTTGGTATGCAGCTGTTTGGTAAAAGCTACAAAGACTGTGTCTGCAAGATTGCTACAGACTGCGTACTTCCACGCTGGCACATGCATGACTTTTTCCACTCTTTCTTGATTGTATTCCGAGTGCTATGTGGAGAATGGATAGAGACTATGTGGGATTGTATGGAGGTTGCAGGCCAAGCCATGTGCCTTATTGTTTTCATGCTGGTCATGGTCATTGGAAACCTTGTGGTATGTAATTTTTCAGATATTCATTTTCCAACAAAAAAGTATATATAACACTTAACAAATAAAGGTTTTCCATGCTTACTTTGTAAAAACCTCTGTATGGCTCGGACTACATTCCCACCAGAGGAGAGAGAGGGAGGAACAGCTCCCCACCCCACCCTTACACTGCAGTGTAGGGTACCCTAAGCTTGCGTCCAGGTGTGCAGGAGTAAGCAGATACTGCACATCTACTTATTCCCATGCATGGAGTGAGTGAGCAGCAAATAATTAACTCAGAGGTGTTGTCTGAGTCAGAGTGTCTCCCACAAAGTAGAAGCTAGACAAATTTAGACTGGTAATAAGGTGTACATTTTTAACAGTGGGGATAATTAACCACTGGGTTAATTTACCCAGGGTTTAGGTGTATTCTCTCTCACTGGCCATTTTAAAATCAATACTTGATAATTTTCTAAGAGATATGCTCTAGGAATAATTTGGGGAAGAGTATATGGCCCGTGTTATACAGGAGGTCAGACTAGATGATCACAATGGTTCCTTCTGGCCTTGGAATCTATTAATCTGGTTTCGTGCTGTGTATGCTGCACTATCCCTTGCTTAGAGTTGTGTATGAAGACAAAATCTAGCCCTCTGTGACTCTGTCAGCTGTTATCCCCTTTTTGTCCCTGTACTAGAAAATATATGCTCCAAAGAATACTGGGGTGTCCTTATAAACACAAGACTCTTGCATGGATTGTATAAGGTCTTTAATGGTCAACAACTGTGATTTTAGCTTAAATTAATAAAAAACTAAACTCACAATTAAATTTCATAAATCATTCAGTTGTGCTTAATTATGTAGTACATGTTGGATTCAGATGCCCAACTTTATCTACCTAACTAGGTGTATAAGTTTTCAAAGTTTGGCTATTGTTACTTTTTCAAGATACCTGTATATATTATAAAACAAACTTCCAGAGCAATATGCATTTGCACCCACCATGTGCCTGTAAAACTTCTATTTTAAAATTACACCATTTGTGGAGTCCTCTAAAATTGCTTTAAACTATTTTCATGACAAACTAGAAGAATAAGAATGACATACTGATTAGCTGTATTTTCAGAACAGAATTTGCATCCAAGCTGACAGCTAGAGTGCCAAGTTTGTGCCCAATGTAAATTAAATTGGCCAATTTAGAACTTTTGAAAAAATATGTTTCTAACTGGGAAGTAGTGTTTAAGATAAGAGTCTCCTGTTCTTTTATTTTAGTTTTAAGGTTTTTTTTTATTGTCCATTTTTGTAACATACTTTGAGTTGATTGAAAAGAAAATGTCCTTTTTTGTTGATATTTCATCCTCTTTTGGACATATATTTTATTGCATATATTAGAGAGAGAGAGAGATTCTACAGCAATCAACATGGCTACTGCCATTCATTTCTCTGACTTAGCAACCTCGTCATTAGGCCATCAATGAAGTCAGCAGAAGTGTGCAGAGCTCTAGATGGCTTGCTAGGCAGCAGAAACCGGCTCTGCATTTCAACATTATTCTTTTTCCTCAGGCATAATATTTGAGCCTGATCCTGCATTTCTTTGTGCCCACATATTTCTGTGACTTCAGTGAAGGTTTGAATGTGCAAGGTCTGCAGAATTGGCCCTTTAGTAGAACAGAAAGGAGATGTCTGGCACACTTGCACATGTGGAAAGTATGATCACCCCAAAAGTACAGTGATTGGTTTTTTTGTTTGTTTGACATCTGTCCTGGATTTACACTCTGACTGAGAGCCCTGTGTTTTTCTTAAATTTTTGTGGACACATGTTCATTAGGAAATAGACTGACTGAGATTACAACTAGTCAGCCATCAGATGACAGCTTCTACTCCAAGATGTGAAAGTGTGAATATCCCATGACCTTTAAACTATCCAGACCACTACTTTAAAAAGAGTACTCTAGTGAGGAAGTTTACACCAGATTGTTTGATATATATCAATCTTGTATATATCTATCTAGATATAGACATATAGCTGTATAATTGTCTATTGCTATGAAGATTTAAAAGAAAATAGCCCGAGTTTATGGAAGACTTTGGTAAAATAAAATAATAAAAATGGTTTGTTCTTTTGTGTACTATCTTCTAGCCTACAGTATAAATAATAAACCATATTCTCAGAGCAGTATTGATACTAGCCTCATTAATGTTTCTGACGAACAAACAAAGAAGGCCATTGTAATATCAAATTCCGAAAAAAACCCAGAGGAAATCATTGTGTGCTAAATGGAAAGATAAGCAAAACTGAAAATTATAATAATTTTATTTTTTGTTTGCTAAGTAGTATTCTAAGCAGTGGTGTTTAAAAAGTATTTTTAAATACTCCTTATGGGAGTACTGTAGGATTTAATAAAGATTGTTAACCTTTCTATATAGTTGTTAAGCCATCCTATAGGATTTGGCTGAAAATTACATTCCTGCTATAAATGTCTTACGAGTGGTTAGACAATCTAAGGAGGACATAATTTTACCATTAAATTATGTAGTTTTTTACAATAGTTTCTATATAATCCAATTCTATCCTTGTTAAATTCTACCAGATCTTTCAAAAGGGCTTGGACAGTGTTCTCTCAACACTCTGGTTGATACAGTCACACAGAACTTTTTAAAGCTATTTTTAAATGAATAAACATTGTCTTGAGATATTTAGAATCCAACACCAGCAGTAATATGTTAGTATGTGAGAATTTTGGAAGCTAAACTGATTTATTTTCATTGTGTGGGTAAAGTTTTGTAAAACTCTTTCATATTTATTGTTGTTTGTTATTTGATTATCCAAAATAAATTAAATACGTTTCTTTTTAAAAACAAATAGTGTGTATAATTTTTAATTAGATAGTGTCCTTTAAAAATACTAATTTCTTATATACACATATATATTATACAGCTATGTTTTCTCATCTTTTAGGTATTGAACCTGTTTCTGGCCTTGCTACTGAGCTCATTTAGTTCAGATAACCTTGCTGCTACAGATGATGATAATGAAATGAACAATCTCCAGATTGCTGTTGCAAGGATTCAGAAGGGAATAGATTATGTGAAAAAAAAATTACGGGAATTCGTGCAAAAAGCCTTTGTTAGAAAGCAAAAAGCATTAGAGGAAATCAAAGCACTTGAAGATCTAAACAACAAGAAAGACAGCTGCATTTCCAACCATACTGTCGTTGAAATAAGCAAAGATCTTAATTGTCTCAGAGATGGGAATGGAACGACCAGTGGTGTAGGAACAGGCAGCAGTGTGGAAAAATATGTAATTGATGAAAATGACTATATGTCATTCATAAACAATCCGGGCCTTACTGTGACAGTACCTATTGCTATTGGAGAATCAGATTTTGAAAATTTAAACACAGAAGAGTTTAGCAGTGAGTCGGATATGGAAGAAAGCAAAGAGGTAGGACTTTTTATATATGAAAAATAAGTAATTATGCACATATTTATTCATTATTTAATTTGATTTTCAGTATTGTTTAATAAATCTCTTACTGTATTGTATAAATATACTATACATTCAGAGTAATGTGTATGATAATTTGGCACTGATCTACCTAATTATGCATCAGGATTCCTTAGATGCTGCATTTTCACTGTCAGTCTGGAAAAAAGAAAAAGTAATAGTCTACTTATTAGCTTACTTATTACAGCAGTTGTGTGATTTATAAATACAGCATTTCTTTCAGATTTTATTATGTGAAGTTTTAGGAGATGATGCAAATTTCATAAGACATCATTTCAGTAGTAATTATAACAATGATCAGAGCTTGTGAAATCTGAGTATTGATGAAGGCCCACGAATATTATAATTGATGACTCAAGGGTATCTCTCTGCACATACCTAAGCTAATTTTTTATTATATATATATATATATATATATGAAAAGTAAAAATATATATGTGGGTAATTACTAAAGATGAATACTAAGACATCATAGAATAAATAGACCAATGAAGCAATTTTTAGACCAGCTGAAGTGTCATTTAGACCAGTACCTTAAAACTGTGCAGGAGTACAGACTAACCATTATATTGTATAGCACTGTAGCAGTAGCTTACATGAAAAAATGATACTATTATTAATGTAACTAAGTGTTTGTTATTGTGCAAAAGCAGACAAAAGATTTTTTTTAACCGAACCAAAAAACCAACAGCTTCCTCAAAATAGACATGGCTGATGCCCTGGAGATTAATGGGTATAGATAATATTCTCAGACAAAAACAACGAGGAGTTTGGTGGCACCTTAAAGACTAACAGATTTATTTGGGCATAAGCTTTCATGGCTAAAAAACCCACTTCTTCCATGCATCTGAAGAAGTGGGCTTTTTACCCACGAAAG